GAAGCAGCAGCGGTGGCGGCGGCGGCAACAGCAGGAGGTGGCGGGGCAGGACTTTTGGGCTGCAGCTGCCCGCTTTTTCTGTTGCTCGCCTCGCCCCGCCTCGCGCCTACCTCTTCTCCTGCAAATGCAGCAGCGGAGGCGGCGGTGGCGGGGGCAGAAGCAGCAGCGGCGGTGGGGGCAGAAGCAGCAGTGGCGGCGGCGGCGGGGGGGGGCAGAAGCAACAGCGGCGGCAGCAGCGGTGGCGGCAGCGGCAACAGCAGGAGGTGGCAGGGTGGGACTCTTGGGCTGTGGCTGCCCGCCTTTTCTGTTGCTCGCCTCGCCCCGCCTCGCGCCTGCCTCTCCTCCTCCTCCTCGCTGGATCTTTCATGAAGGTTGGGGTGGGCGTTGGGCCGCATTACGAGGTGACCTGGGCCGCATGTGGCCTGTGGGCCGCGGGTTGGACAAGCCTGGTCTAAGGTTAAAGTTTTTTGGGTTTGGGGAACAAAGCACAGAGTCAGGTAGAGTATTCCAGACATTGACCACTCTGTTGCTGAAGTCGTATTTCCTGCAATCAAGTTTGGTGCGGTTAACTTTGAGTTTGTATCTATTGTTTGCTCTTGTGTTGTTATCGCTGAAGCTGAAGTATTCACTGACAGGTAGGACATTGCAATGTATGATTTTATATACTATACTTAGATCAGACAGAAGGCAGCGTAGTTCTAGGTTTTCTAGGTCTAGAATTTCGAGTTTGGTGGCATAAGGTATTCTGCAACAAGTAGAGGAGTGGAGAACTCTTCTTGTGAAATATTTCTGGACTTTCTCAACTGTGCTAATATCAGATACATAATGTGGGTTCCAGACTGATGAGCTGTATTTGAGTATTGGTCTAGCAAATGTTTTGTATGCTCTAGTTATTAGTGTATTACCAGAGAAAAAGCTATGTAACATTAGGTTAACAACTCTTAATGCCTTTTTGGCTATGTAGTTACAGTGGGCTCTAGCACTTAGGTCATTAGAGATGAATACTCCAAGATCCTTGACAGAGTTTAGATCGTCAACAAGGTCTTGACTATTCAGCCTGTATTTTATTTTCTGATATTTTTTTTTGCCAATATGTAGGACAGAGCATTTATTTGTTGAGATTTGAAGTTGCCATTTGTTTGACCATTCTGATACATAGTCAAGGTCTTTCTGAAGGGTAGCAGTATTGTCTGTGGTGTTGAATAGCTTTACATCATCAGCGAAGAGAACGCAGTTGCTCTTGATACGATCACAGGGGTCATTTATTTAGAGAATGAAAAGAGTTGGTCCTAGAACACTGCCTTGGGGGACACCACTGTTGACAGGTACAGAATTTGATAGAAGTGAAGGGTTAAGGAAATCTTTTTTTTACAACAGCAAGATAACAAATGCCTATAGAGTAACTTTCTATTTAATGCTATAATATATTCTACGACATTTCTTTATTTATTATTACTATTCCCTTCAGTAGTGTTAGGGATAACATTGTTTACCCTAACTGGTTTAGGTAAAATAATAAATAACTTATCATGGTTTGTTGGTTAAAGTGTGTGCAACTTTAACTGCAAGAATGTAATTAAGGGTGTGGTTGTAAAAGCACCATAAAAGGAGCAAGACAACAGCTCGCTCTCTGGTTTAATGATCCCTAATTAGTGGATGGATTGATGACTGCGTTTTTCCTTACTGGAACGGGAGAGAGAAAGGAGTGTTGATTTCTCAACAGCGAGAAGAGATAATACGAACTGATTTATTGTAAGTGAATTGACATTGAATATTCAACACGGACATTGCAAATTGAGTATCCCTGAATGGACTGAATGAAATGATACATGACCAATGGACTGTTTTTGACTATGCTATAGATTCTTAATGGAATAAACTATATTTTGATAGCACAAGCGTATCTGCTTTTTACTGAGTGTTAACTAATATACAAACTTATCTCACACATTTACCTGTCTGCCTACCTGACTAACGCTGCACATTCTGTTTAGCGTGTTTCCTTAACACTCGTTGGGGGACCAGGCTTAACAAGTAGTACAAGCCAAGAAGCATAATTTGTTTTGTTTTTTTGAAAAAGTTTTTATTTTTTTAAGACAAACACATACAAACAAAACATAAAAACATAAAAAACATCTTCCATCTTATATACATACTGTCAGCTTTGAAATTCAGCTGCCACATTTTTTTGAGAGTTGGAGGAGTTGAAAAGTTCAAGGTTATTCTGTATGGAGTATTAAGAAATTCCAGTGGCAGTTAATTGGTTCTCGTGATTTATGAAGTGTAGAAGTGGGAGGAGAGAAGGTGGTTTAAAAAGCTCTGAATAATTGTCAAATCTGTCGCAATCTGCTGTTTGAGTTTAATATAATTGTCCTCCTTAAATGTACTACATCTTGGTGTAATGTGTATCCCTAAATACTTAACCTTTTTTATGACCTGTATTTCTAAAACTTCTTCCAACTCTTTCTTTCGTCTTGCTAATATATTTTTTGTTAATATCTTTGTTTTATCTTTATTTATTTTCAAACCTGCTACTTTTCCATATTCTTCTATCTTTTCTATTAATTTAGGTGCTGTTTCCAATGGATCCTCTAGTATAAATACCAGATCATCTGCAAAAGCTTGCAATTTATACTCTTCCTTTTTAATTTTCATTCCTTTTATTTCTTTATCTTCTCTAATATTCCTGTTCAACACTTCCAAAGTTAACACAAACAGCAGAGGCGACAGTGGACAACCTTGTCTTGTCCCTTTTCTTATATCTATGGATTCTGTTAATTCTCCATTTACCATAATCTTTGCAGTTTGTTCATAATATATCGTTGCAATGGCTTGAGTAAATTTTTTACCAAAGCCCATTTGTTCCAATCGCAATAACATAAATCGCCAGCTCACGTTGGGAGAAAGTTAAAGAGACATGCTGTTATAACTTTGAATAGTCACTAAATGAACTGTTTAAAGTCAACAGTTCCAGTTCTCTTTCAGGATCTTTTGGAGCATTGGTTTTTTGCACATGTAGTAGTGTTCAGTGCTGCATCTCACCGACATGGCTGTGACTTCTTCGTCCAAAAATGCACAATCTCCTCCATTTCCCTTGACTTCCATCCTGCAATAGAAGCAGAAATTAGGCAGTGGAGATAATGTCCCACATAGCTGTTACCAAAGGAATCTTGAGTTTGCAATTCATCTAGCTGAGCCTTCCCTTGCCTTGCCTGGAACCCTCTAGAACAGGGGTCTCTAACCTTGGCAACTTTCAGATTTGTGGACTTCAACTCCCAGAATTCCTCAGCCAGAAGCTGGCTGAGGAATTCTGGGAGTTGAAGTTCACAAGTCTTAAAGTTGCCAAGGTTGGAGACTCCTGATCTAGAAATGCTGGACTGGACCACAGCCACCATATTTCCTATCCTTGGACACAATGACTGAGAATAATAGAAGTTGCAGTGCAACCTAATCAGAAGGCACTACTCTGGGAAACTCCAAGGTAATTTACTATCTGCTGTAAGTAGTAGTAGCTCTTCAGGAGGTTGTCTATCTGACAAATTGACTTGTGGACATTAGGACAGGACCTGGGTACAATGTGCCGTTCCTTACGGCTTCCTTCACAGTTTTACTTCCTGTGTAAATTTAATTCAATCTCTACAGAGATTCTCAGTCATTCAGGTCATGGTTGCCTCAACGATGCTTTTTCAAAGGCAACTGGACTTCCCTTCATTTCTTCCTTGAAGATGTTTCACTTCTCATCCAAGATGCTTCCTCAGTTCTGACTTTATTTATTAAACAAATTTATATCACTGCCCAACTCACACACAGGCAATTCTGAGTGGCCTACAACATGCTTTTGTTAACTCTTACTTCACGTAACAAATATACCAATCTGGTGCCATCTCTGACTAACCCCAATGTGCTGAAAATACACCAAATTCCCACAGAATCAATGTAACATTATGGGAGTTACCCATAATTGCCTTGGTTTAACTCTGAGTGGGCGGAATAACCATTTAAGGGAAAGTTTGGAGGGAACGTTTTACTGGAGAATTGACAATAAGATTATTATGACCAAGGGCAAATTGAACTAATAGGAGAACTGCAGGATGATGGTGAATTTATTGCTGTATCTTTCCTATTTGTTCCATTTCCATTGTTCTTACAGAACTGTGTTCTCCAGTGGGCAACTTGAGTGGGCAATGCTCCTGTAGTCCTGTTGCTTGGGAAACTATAATTTCAATGCCCGAGAGCTGAGTGAACCAGAAAAGTCCTTGGGCCTATAAAACTCTTACCTTTTTCAAGGCGGCTAAAGACTAAGAAAGGGTTTATTTGATTAATTTGTGACAAAAATATGGAATGCTTCACGAATTTGCGTGTCATCCTTGCGCAGGGGATTGATAATGAGCTTCCGGTGGCAAGGCAAGGACGAGCAGAGGGGTAGAAATCTGCTGTGGTTTCAGCTAACCTTTTCTTGAGTTTGGTGCAATCTTTCGGGGTGCTCGAGTCCTGGAGAGACCCGTGCCGGTGTGGGGGAACCTCGGATCGTAGGGTGGGGAAGGCAACCCCCCCTGCAACGAAGAGGAAACCCTCCAGGGCCCAACGATCAAGAATAGCCCCATGTTAATGGAGGCTCCGAAGTCCTGACTGCCACCGATGTGAAGGAAAGAGTGAGTGACAGTTTGCAAGTTCGTTGGGAAAGAGAGTGATGATTAAAGTTAGTGGCGGAGAAGAAATTTGGAAGAATACAGATTGACTTTAAGCTGTGATATATTGTAAGAGCATCTGTTGGGAGCCCTAAGAGAAAGCGGCCAAAAGCGAATTTGCAAGTGAAAGCGAAGGGGCTCGGCAGACAGAAGAGAGGTGGAATAACAAAGATTTAAAGAGGAATCCAGCATTACGAAGTGACTGAAAAGATCTAGTTACCATTTGCATTTGAGCAGATCCTTTTACAACCGGAGCCAGAAAGCAGAACTAAGCTGATCGGGGAAGGGCATTTAGAACGCTGAGGTGGCTGCAACAAAGTAACAGACTTAACTGACTGAAAGGACACAATTTATTCAAACAATCCCTGGGAACCTGAGGATATTGCTCCACTGGAGGAGACAGCTTTTTTCCCCTCCTCTCTTGAAGGAAATCAGGGCAATTGAAAAAATTGGAAACCTTTGAATGAGTGAGAACGCTGTTTAATTGTAGCTGTTACTCAGCAGCTTTTCACCTTCCATTTCTGGTGTGCTTAAAGTGAAAGCTCCCAAATTGAAAAGTGAAAACTAAAAATTATATTTCTAGAGCTTCTCTTTCTTTCTTTTTTACTTTCCTCTTTGCGCATATATTTACTTAAAATATTCTCCCTTCTTTCCTATCAGTTGATATCATGTTATGTTGAATTATGCTTTTTCTTTGATTTTCTCTTGATAGATATGCACATTATATTAGGTTGTTAAATATTGGATTAATTAATTTAGTTAAGTTATTAATAACAAAGATTGCTATATTCTGTGTGGGAATATAGGGGGGATAGTAGGAATATTGGGTATTGATTAATTAACAATTTTAGAATTCTCTAGTTTAATATCATATTGCATTGTGTGATCATATCTAGGAATATTTAGGAATGCAACATTTTTTGTAACTAAGCTTACTTTACATTTAAGTTAAATCAGTGAAATACAGATTTATCTTATTAATTAGTTAAGAATACAGTTATTTAACAGATTGATAGACCTTGAGCAATTCTAGTAATAGATTTAAGAACACTGAATGCCAATTTGGAACAATATACTTAGCATTGTGCAACAACAAAAACAAATTTTACAGGAAATGACTTCTACATCTACTACAGCGTTGAAAACTGGCAGAAAGGTCAACCCCACAATAACAACTACTTTAGCAACAACTTCACCCATGGCGCAAAAAACAATAGAGGAAACACTACCAATAGAGAAGCAAACTAGCATCTCGAATGCCAACATCCAAGCAATGTTTCTAACTTTACAGGACTCATTGACAAAACTGCAAGAAATAATGACTAAAAACCACAGGGAAACAAGAGCAGATATTAATGAACTGAAGGAAGAGATGGGGAAATTAAAGGCAGAAATGAAGGCGGACATCTTTAAAGTAGAGGATAAAGTGGGAGTACTGCAACAGGCCTTGGAGAAAAATGAAGTTATAATAAAAGAGGTAGAAAAAAGAACTGACCGGACGGAAAAGGAATTAGAAAGAGTGGATGAAGATCTTAAAAACATGAGTAAAGAAATGGACGACTCATTGGTCCTCCTAGAGATGGACAAGGCGGCAACTTACTTAAGATTTCAAAATGTGGCGGAATCAAAAGAGGAAGACCTGGAATACTTGATGGCAGAAATACTGTCCGGCCTTTTGAAGAAGGACAGAGATGATATCCAAAAAGAGTTTGATGAAGTTTACCGGGTCAATACAAATTACGCAAGACGACACAAATGCCCCAGGGAAGTTCACATACGATTCACCAGAAGATGTACCCGTGATATGATATATAGAATTTCTAGAGATAAAACAATAACGTATAAAGAAAAAGAAATTATAATTCTTAAACAGATTCCGAGAAGAGTAAGGGAACAAAGGCGCGATTACAAATTTCTGGCAGCTTATTTAAACCAAAAAAGAATTACATTCAAATGGCTTATACCAGAAGGGATGCTAGTGTCGTGGAAAGAGAGGAAAATTAAAATAGACACCATGGAAAAAGCTCAGGACTTTTATGAACGGATGGTGGGCCCACAGGAGCAAAGTAGTAGGGAGGAATCGGAGACAAATTCTCAAGAAGAATACAGTGGACATAAAAATAGAATCAGATCTGTAGGGAACCAAGAGGACACTCATTCGCAACAAAAGACAGAAGGAATCACACAAACACAAACGCAAGGAGAAACAGAAGCTGTTACACGCCAAAGAGCGAAACAGAACTAAATAAATGAGAGAAGAAAAAAAATTACTATCAATAAATATAAACGGTTTAAATTCAACGAATAAAAGAAAAAGGATATTAACTAAATTAATCAAACAAAAGGCCGATATAACATGCCTACAAGAAACGCACATAATGAAGAAAGATGAAAAATATTTAGAATGCCCGAAATTAGGAAAGTTATTTACCACACCAGCAGACGAGGGTAAAAAGAAAGGAATTGCAGTATATGTAAAAGAGGATTTAAAAGCAGAGCCAATATGGTCGGATTCGGAAGGAAGGACTCTGGTTTTACAGATCTGGATTAATGACATCCCAATTCTCTTAGTAGTAATTTACGCCCTGAACGGGGACCAAAAAGAGTTTTTTAAACACCTATATGGAAAAATGGTTGAATTGCAACAAAAAAACATCTGTATTATAGGGGACTTCAATTCTATTGTTGAATATCAAAAAGACCACAGCAACGGCGGGAAAAATAAAAAGGGGAAAAGAGAGCTCCCTAAGATTTGCAGGGAAATGATGAAAGAGCTAAATTTGACAGATATATGGAGAAGACTACATCCTGGGAAAAAACAGTTTACATTCTATTCAAATCCCCACCAAACATGGACACGGATAGATATGGCATGGATGAATGGGGAAATAGCAAACGAAATAAAAGAAGTGGAAATTTTGCCCAATGAATGGGCAGATCATAACCCAATTCAGATAATATGGAAGGGTAGGGTAAAACCAAAGAAAAGATGGACGTTAAACACTCAATTAATAAAAGAGAAAGAATACATCAATAAATTAAAGGAGGAATTAAACTTTTTTATAAAAGAAAACGATAATGGAGAAACTACAAAACAAAATATATGGGATACAATGAAGGCGGTAATAAGAGGTATAACAATCTGTTATAATGCCAAGAGAAATAAGGAAAAATATTCCCAACAAAATAAACTACAACAAAGAATTAAGGAGCTGGAAACTCTACTACAGAATACTCCAAAAGATACAAAACTGCAAAACCAGATAAGTATAGCTAAACATAAATTGAATTTAATCGAACAAGAGAAAATGATTACAAATTTGAATTTGACTAGACAAACCTATTTTGAACATGCCAACAAGCCAGGAAGATGGCTATCTTATAAATTAAAAAAAAAAGAAAGAAAAGAGAATGATATACCAGTTAATAGATAACAAGGGAGATATATACCAGGAAATAGAACAGAAAAAAGAAATCATTCATAAATACTTTGAAGATCTATACAAAAAAGAAGAGGTTAGTGAAGATAGAATAAGGAACTATTTAGATGAAGTTAAAGATAAGGTAATTGGGGGAGAAATGGCAGAACTATTAAATAAAGACATTACTGAATCGGAATTGAAATCAGTAATAGATAACCAGAAAAATAACAAAAACCCGGGCCCAGATGGAATCCCAGGGGAGCTCTACAAGGGAATAGTAGAACAAATCAGACCATTTATGTTGGAAGTTTTTAATGACGTTTTACTAGCAGCCAGGATGCCGAACTCATGGAGGGGGGCGCTGATTTCGCTGATCCCGAAGGAGGATACAGATCCCAGATATATAAACAATTACAGGCCGATTTCACTCCTAAATACCGATTATAAAATATTCACTTCTATTATAGCAAACAGATTAAAAAGATTGCTAAACTTGTATATACATGAAGATCAAAACGGATTCCTTCCAACTAGGCAAATAAAGAATAATCTAAGAATAGTATTAGACGTACTAGAATTTTATGAAGCCCACCCTGAGAGACAAGTAGCACTCATGTTCCTAGATGCAGAAAAGGCTTTCGATAATCTGAATTGGCAATTTTTAATTCAAAAAATTTATAATTTGAATCTGGGTACCAAATTTGAAAATATTATAACAACTATCTATGACACACAACAAGCCAATATAATAATAAACGGGGAACACACTCGCCCAATAAAGATAGAAAAAGGAGTGAGACAGGGCTGCCCACTCTCTCCTCTGCTCTTCATATTATCATTAGAGACATTATTAACGCGAATTAGGCAAAATTCAGATATAAAGGGATTAACGGTTAAGAAAGAGGAATTTAAATTGCAAGCATTTGTGGACGACATGATTTTCTTCATTGAAGAACCAATAGATAGGGGACTAAAATTGATGAAAGAACTAGAGAAATTTGGAGCAGTAGCAGGACTTAAAATAAACAGGAAAAAAACCAAATTAATGACCAAAAATTTAACAGAAAAACAGAAAATAGAATTAGAAGAAACAATGGAAATACAAGTGACAAAGAAAGTGAAATATCTAGGAATTTGGCTAACACCACACTGTAAGTCACTTAAAGAAAATAATTATGACAAATTGTTACATCAGGTAAAGAAAGATTTAGAATCATGGAGTAAACTTCAAATTTCACTATTAGGTAGGATTGCCACCATTAAAATGAACATTCTCCCCAAATTTCTATACATATTTCAAACGATCCCAATTAAATTACACAAAAAGTTCTTCGAAGAACTTAACAAAATAACCCTCAAATTTATTTGGCAAGGGAAAAAACCCAGAATAAATGTAAAAGCAATGCAAGATATGAAGAGCAGAGGAGGGTTAGCAGTCCCAAACTGGGAGTTATATTATATGGCCACCTCGTTAGTTTGGTTGAAGGACTGGGTGAATTTAACTAATAAAAGAATATTATTTCTAGAAGGCCACGACTTACAAAGGGGGTGGCACGCTTTCTTATGGGACGTAGGGAAAACCAGTCAAAAATATTTTCATAGACATTTAATTAGAGACGCGCTACTAACAATTTGGAAGAAAATACGGAAAAAACATTACATAAAAATACCAATATGGATTTCAACAATGGAGGCGATGATTCACCCAAACAATCTGGAAATTACTAAAATGATTAAATATAAAGACTTATTGGACCCACAAGGAAATTTGAAATCGAGGCAGGACATTCAGGACCAGGGACAAAAAATTGATCAATGGGTTTACCTTCAGATTCAAAGTAGGTACAAACAAGACAAGAAAGAATTTGGAATTAACAACAAACTTCAACAATTAGATAAAATTTTATTAGGACCGGACAAAAAAAACATAACAAAATTTTACAATTATTTACTAGAAACAGAATTAGAAGAAGAAATTGTAAAAGGGAATATGATTGCGTGGAGTCGGAACGTAGGACGTAGTATTACACTAGCGGAATGGGAAAAAGTTTGGGGCAGGAATAATAAGATCACAAAATCGGTAGCATACAAGGAAAATCTTTATAAAATGTTTTATAGATGGCATCTCCCTCCTTCGAGACTAGCGAAGATGCACCCCAACATGAGTCCATATTGTTGGAAATGCAAGAAAAAAGAAGGAACCTTTTTCCATATGTGGTGGACATGTACAGAAACCCAAAATTACTGGAAGAAAATCAAAACTTGGTTGGAAGAAATTACAAAAGAGCAGATCGAATATAAACCAGAGTCCTTCCTACTAGGGATCTTTGACAAACAAATTTCCAAAAAAGCTAAATACATAACAATACATATCTTAACCGCGGCCAGATTAGCCTTCGCTCAATATTGGAAACAACATCAAATTCCACCAGATGAAGTGATTATTGATAAAATTTCAAAATGTGCAGAAATGGACAAACTGACTTTGGCACTAAAAAACAAAGATACTTCACTATATTATGATAGTTGGAATTGTTGGTACAATTGGATTGATCAAAGATAAATTATATACCATAAGGCAAAAGAGGAAAGTATTAACCTATAATAATGAGATAGCGATATATGTATAGAATAGGTGTGTATATATGACATAAATCAAAGGCTGTGAAAAAAAGATCTTGCAAACTGTAAAAATAAGAATGCTTTTAACTTTTCTTCCTTCTTTTTCCTTCTTTTTCCTTTCTTTTCAATCTTTTCTTTCTTTTCTTCCTTCTTTTTTTCTCTCGTTTATTTGTGTATGTATCGTTGGTTGTTTTTAATTGTAAAAACTAATAAACTGTTTAAAAAAAAAAGACTAAGAAAGGGGCACTAAGAAACGGGCATTAAGAGCTGTGGTGACACAGTGGTTAGAATGCAGTACTGCAGGCTACTTCTGCCGGCTGCCAGCAGTTTGGCAGATCAAATCTCACCAGGGTCAAGGCTGACTCAGCCTTCCATCCTTCTGAGGTAAAATGAGGACCCATATTTTGGGGGCAATATGCTGACTCTGTAAACTGCTGTGAAAGGGCTGTAAGTGTAAAGCACTGTAAAGTGGTATATAAGTCTAAGTGCTATTGCTATTACAATAAAAAGTATCAAGGCTCAGTTGGAGCAGTAAACCCAACAGAAGATTAATGAGTTTTTAATGAATTGAGAGACAGCAGTTTGGAAATTCTTGTTTATGAACTATACTCCAGCCTTCCCAAAATGTCCTGTAGCCTCTTCTATCTTTAAATCTCAAGTAAAGATGATTGTGCAGATTGTTCTCCAATTCATTGATTAGGAAGTGTTGGTTTATTGTCTATTGGGACACAGTAGATCTGTGTCCCAGGAGCTCAGCATTCTGGAGTCAGTTCAGATTCTGAACACAATAATTATTCTGATAGTTCTCGACTTGCAATCACTATCGGGACTAGATATTTCCATTGCTAAACAAGATGGTTCTTAAGTGAGTTGGGAGCTCAGACTGCACCAAGCCCCTCACATAAGTGAATTATGCCTGATTTTGTGACCTTTTTGCCACGCTTATTAAGCAGATCACTGCAGTTGTTAAGTGAATTATGTGGGGGTTTTTTTTAAGTGAATCAGCTTCTCCTATTGATTTTGCTGGATGGAAACCAGCTGAGAAGGTCACAAACAGTGATCAATGACCCTGGGATTCTGCAACCAATGTGAGAGTTTTGCTAGCAGATCTGGGGGTCCCAGGTTGATTTGCAGCCCATCAACTGGCTGGTCTGATGTCACCAGGGAGAGAGGGATTTATTGGGTTTAGCATTGTTGCTTTATTTCTGTAAATTGCCCAGAGCCGCCATGAATGAGTTTCTGAGTTGGGTGGCCCATATAAATTATCTGAATAAATAAATAAAATAAAAATAATAAATACACGTGGGTTGCCATCAGATCATACAAGACTGGTCATACGTATATTCTTTTTCAGAATGGTTGCTAAATGAATGGCTATAAGTCAAGGACTCCTCATAATACGTTTTTAACTACATTAGTAGGGCCAAATCTTTTTAGAGGGCAACGCCTGAATACTAGCAGCCAGGAAGTTCGTTCTAAGATCGGATCTGAGCTGGGAAGAGCTGAAAGGGAAAGAGTAAGAACTTACGTTGCATTTTTTCCATCTAGCCACTTCCAGTGTTGATTCGGTTCTCTCGTGAGGCCGATCCAAAAGACATGGACTTTTGTGAACATCCTCATAATACCCTTTAAAAAATGGTGCATGTTAGAACGTTGCATCGTTACAATTCCCAGCTGAATTTCTGAACTTACATATAGGCTGAAAAGACTAAAACCATCTTTTGAACACAGGTAGTAGTTCCTTTAATGAAAGGCAAAAACGAGAGACCCTCGTTAACTTTTTTTTTGAAGTAATTTTTAAACCTTTTGTAGAAGGTTAAAAAAAACTGATTTTCCTAGAATGGATCTTGACAATGTCTACCATTTTATTTTTGGCTTCCTCTGCTTCTGAGGATTTTTATGCATTGGGGGATGATTATTAGATGTTTCCAAGTTTCTATGCAGGGAAAAAAATGAAATAAGTAAATGACTGACTAATTTTAATGATGTTTAGAGATGTTTAATGATGTTTTAATTTTCTATGTCAACAGAGTTTAATTTGTAAAACCAGCATTCTTTGGAACCTGGAGAAGGTTTAAGAGGCTCCTGAAGCTTTTGTTCAGAAAGGCATCTAAGGAGATTTTATTTTTTACTAGTATTAGCAGAAAAACTTTTTCACATTGTAAAAGAGCATGCATCATCAATGATGCAACATTATTTATAGGAACTGATTTAGCCTGGTGAAAACCACTTACATTAGTCGCAATTTCCTCCTCTGTAATTTTGGCCAAGGTAGCATTATGCAAAAAACAAGAGTTCTTGCTCTCATTCCAGTTCTTCTCCTCCTCTGACAATTTGTAGCAGCTTTTATTATGTCCAAACCAGTCAAGTGGGCAATAAAAGGCATCCTGTTGGTAGTTTAATGGCACTGATGTTCCTAGAACAAAAAGAGACAAAAAGAATAGACACTAACTTATTCTGTCTTGTTCTTATAAGTAGGATGGGACCATCCTGCTAAATTAGAACCTGTTGCTGATTTCTAACAAAACCCAATCTGGATAAGGAGACCCAATGTTCTAGCTGTTGTAACAACTCCCATTCTATAATCCTCAGATTAATAGAGATTGTGGACTGAGCAGTGATTTACATGGTGGATTTGAATCCAAGAAACCACATGTAAATCTACTTATTCAGCCATGAATCTCTTTGTGAGATTTTCCACTGATTTGGTCAACCTGTTTGACATTTGGTCCATCTTTTTCACAATTATTGCTTTTGGCAGGAAATCACTAAATAAAGAAATGCGCGTCTGCTCATTTTATTTTTTGAGATTTGCCTTTACTATTACAGTCACTTGTTTTCTATTTATAATTTCTTTTTCCTGTAAGCTCCTTAAGCCATTATTTCTGCTCTTCTCACTAGTGCCAAATGAGTATTCCCCTTCCCTTTCTGGTGATCTCATTCTGGATTAATCTCACAAAATAAGATTCAGTGATACTTTCAACCAAACACCGAAACTTTTTCCAAACAAAGGAACTGAAGTTTTCCTGGACTAGATGAAGCAGATTGCAGGGACTAAAAAGCAGGGCAAGGCCAACACTATGTTTCTAACCCATCTGCGGAAGTCATTCAGCTTCATGAACTCATGGAGAAGCTTTTCACAGGAACAGGATTAGGGTCTGGATTCCTTACCCTGGTAATAAATGAGATGTAGGAGATGACCGGGCTGAGCCCAAGGGAGGGGTGAATCACATAATCAGTCTTGAGTCCCTTCGAACCAACAAGAGATCTAAGTCCAGCCCACCTTGAATGCCTTTGACTCTTGTCTACCACCAATTTGCTTTGGCTATTAGTAGTTCAGAGTCTTGTAGACAGCTTAAGATTGCAGTAAAATTTTATACCGGTTTGAACTGCCTCGGTCTTCTGATTTTCCGTGGTGCTTGACAGGACACGGGCAATGAGGATACTCTGGAGGATGATCAGGATGATCAGGAGGATGACAATGGCAATTCCAATTATTTCAATTCTTCTTTTAGAGTAAGATCTTGGTTCTGCACAAAAAAGAAGAGAAACAAGATTCATCAGCAGTCATCTGTTACATCAAAGGAAGCTAGAAAGAAACCTGGATACTGATGAGCAGAAATCCCTAAATAAAATATTATAAACATTTCTAAGTTGCTGAGATTTTCTTGCTTTTTGCTTTTTAATTTCCAAAGTCAATAACTGTC